GTTTGTCATATTTTGCTCTCAGTATTAGCAGTTCTTGTTGCTTTTCTTTAGAGCCCTTTAGATTTAACTCAAGCTCAGTCTCTTTTATTTGTTCTTCAAGTTTTAGCATTTCCATAACGGTTTTGTTGGTTTTATTTTTTGTGTAGCTTATCATCTGACCCCGTATAAAAGCCTTAAAGGCTTCCCATCTAGTAGATGCTGTAGTCTCAGATTTATTAAGGCTGAAGTAGTCATCAATATTTATCTCAATAAATTTCAGAAATTTGGGCATTTGCAACCAGTGTGGTTTTAATCGCCAAATAGGATTACGATTAAACGCAATTATGGGTGATAATTTAAGCATACATAGTGAGTGGTCGGAGATCAGTATACTTTTGTAGACACAACTCTTAGTTCTGGTAATCAAGGAATTTGAAATTAGGAAGTAATCTATACGACTATAGCTATTATGGGTGGTTGAGTGGCAAGAAAATTCTTTCTTTGTTGGATTCTGTACTCTCCAGATATCTCTTAAGTTTAATTCAGACATAAAATGTTGAATAACCCGTCTACTTTTAGGATGGGACAGATCCAAACCTGATGATCGGTCAAGCTTCGGATCTAAAGTACAATTAAAATCACCACCAATGATCACATCACCATGAAAAGCTGTAATAGAGAGAAACAAATTATTGTAGAAATCAGGGTCATCAATATTAGGACCATACAGGTTAACCAGAATTAAGTTTTGGTTCATCAGGGATGCTTGGATTATTATGAATCTCCCAGCGGGGTCAATGATAGTCTTTTTTATACAAACAGGTAAAGATTTATGAATAAGAATTGCCACGCCCCTAGAGTGTGGAGAAAATGAGCTAGAAAATATTTGACCAGGCCATCTTCTTCTTAGTTGTGCAGCTTCGTATGTAAGCAAGTGTGTTTCTTGGATAAAAACCACTTTTGGATGGAATTGTTTAAGTCTATTCATTACTTTTTTTAGTTTGATCAATTTTCTAAGGCCTCTTACATTCCAGGAGATCACATCAACAACGGACTCAGTACTCATTTGTTTAATGTCAATATATCATCTCTTTCTGTTTTTTGTCTCAACTGTAGGAACCTGCATTTTACAACCTGAGGAACATTGCACCTTGAAAACATTGAACATTTATAAACACAAAAGATTTCCCAGAGATTTCCCACCAGTGGGAATCTACCTCTCCCTTTCCCCTCTATTCTGTGACTTGGCTATGCTACTGATCCTTTTTAATATGTTTTTAAGTGAGAAAGGCCACCTGAAAACTTCATAATTGCAGTCAGTTCATCCAGATTATTATCCTGCTTATACTATTTCTGTCGGAGGCACTCAGACCCCACATGCCAGCGGTGCACCGACAATCCCTTCATCAGCAGCCTCTAGGCTGGGCAGCCTGCGGATTCACCGGGTAGGCTGGCAGGTGTTTTTCATCTAAATAATTTAAACTGCAGGCACCAGGATACCGGTAATAAAAGCGAACATACAT